GCTAGGGGGAAGCAGCCACATAGCACAGGGAGATCAGCTAGGTGGTTTGTGACCGCCTAGAGGGGTGGGATAGGGAGGGGTGGGATAGGGAGGGTGGGAGGGAGGGAGACAAAGAGGGAAGAGATACGGGAACATATGTATATGTATAACTGATTCACTCTGTTATAAAGCAGAAACTAACACACCACTGTAAAGCAATTATACCCCAATAAAGATGTTAAAAAAAAAAAAAGGATGATGGGTATTAGAGAAAAATAAAATTAGGAAAATAGTAGTACTGTTTATGTTCATATAGCACCTAATCCCATGTAAAATCACATGACATTTTACAGCACGGTAATTAAGGCTCTGAAGAGGTTACTTGAATCATCTTTGGTCACATAGTCAGTAGTACTGGGGCTCAAACTCTTCAGTGCCCTTTCCACTGTGTCACAATTTTGAAGATTAGAAATTAGAAGAAAGTCCAAGAGTAGATGTAAAAGCAGTGATGCTTGTAGAGAAAAGTACCACCTGGAAGGCCAAGCTAGATTAGAAATAAAGTACAATTAGAAATGAGTATATAAAACTTCTTAAGTTAAATAAATTCAGTGGTTTTAAAAAAAATAAAAAACAGGAAACACCCACAACAGCAAATCACAGCCGACTCGGATATGTCTGAAAAGGCCCAGAAGAATGAAGGGGAAGAAAGAAGGGGAAAGGTTGGCCGTTTGAGGAGAGTAGTCCTCAAAGTCTGGGGCTCAGCTTTCTCATCATAATCATCTCCGATCATCCACTCTTGACAAGTTGCTGTGCCGTATGGAGAGCCTGTTAGTGTATCCCTGCTGCTTCACTGGCCAGGCGTGTCCCTAAGGTGTGGTGGATAACAGTGAAGTGGGGGAGGAGACTTGCTAATGACTGATAATCAGTTTATATCTGCTTGGTAATAAGTGAGTGAAGTGCTCATATTTCCGTCTTGCAGATTTTTCACAGTTTAGAATATTTGTAGAGTTGCTGATGCAAGTTGGAAAGTTCTAGTTAGTAAAGTTTTGAAATGAAAAATAATGTAGATTTCTTATAAACATATGTAGTCATCAAAAAATGGAATATATATGCAGCCCTAAAGATGACATAAAATACCACCATAATTTCCTTTACCCAGAGATAACTGATTTTTATACTTGAATTCTAAAAATTGAACTGATAACTCAACAGTGGGTGTGAAAGAGAAGTGAATATTAAACTTATATAAATGTACCCATATTTTTACTGTCTTTCTTGGGGTCACATAAAGCATATTTTAAATAACTGTTCTAAATTGTGACAAAACTCCGGTGCCCCTGCGCTGAAACTAGGTACTCTATGTCTGACACTCTTCTAGAATACACACTGAGCCTGAGTTAACAAATATTCTTTTATTTTATTTTATTATTATTATTTTTTTTGCGGTGCGCGGGCCTCTCACTGTTGTGGCCTCTCCCGTTGCGGAGCACAGGCTCCGGACGCGCAGGCTCAGCGGCCACGGCTCACGGGCCCAGCCGCTCCGCGGCATGTGGGGTCTTCCCGGACCGGGGCACGAACCCGTGTCCCCTGCATCGGCAGGCGGACTCTCAACCACTGCGCCACCAGGGAAGCCCCACAAATATTCTTAATAAATTCCATTATTTGGTTTTGTCAGCCCACTGCAAAGAGTTGGCATGGAACAGGACATGCTGTTCGAAGCAGATACATGGGTACAAAGGAAGTGACAACTGATAGCCTGACGTGGAGGGAGGAGACTTGGGAAACTGAAAAGCAGGCTCGGAACTACTAGCAAGCGATTTGAAAGTGATGTAAATAGCAGTGATCCTAAGTTGGCAAGGAAAGATTAAGTAAGTGGCTTTTGCTTAATAGACAAAAGATAGGCAGTACTTCTTAGGATTACTGTCTTAAATAGATTGAGTAAAAGCTTTGGTGTTTAAAACTTAGCTTCAGTAATCTGCAGTCTTTTCTATGTAGGTTGTTGAATATCTCAACAGAGCTGGAAAATAAGACATGTAATTTTGAGTTGATAGGAGCCTTTTGGAAGCACATTGATATATTTGTTATATAATTTGTTAATACTATTTATTGTCATAATAATCCTTGTAGACATAGTTGTAAAAGAGAAAATGAGATTTTTAGGATCTCTTTTTATTTGTTTGCTTCCTTTATTTATGATTGCTTCCATTTCAGGAAGGAACATCTGCCATGGAAAATCTAAATGAAATGCAATGTATGTGGTTTCAAACAGAATGCATTTCAGCTTATCAGCGTTTGGGAAGATATGGGGATGCTTTGAAAAAATGCCATGAAGTTGAAAGGGTAAGTTAATAGAGTTTTGGCTTTATTTTTCTCCTATAAGGTGACAAAAAAAGCAGGTAGATTTCTACATGGGATCATCTACCTCTTATAACTACTTTGGAAACTTCATTGTGAAAAAATTCTTGATCTTTAGCCTTTCAAACATTCAGAAGTTGTGAATAAATGACTGCTTTCTTTTGATCCTCAAATGGTTATGATTTCGACATGTCTGCATACTTTTGCCTGAAGGAAGAAGGAAAAGATTAGTAAGTTATTGTTGCTATTATTAACATACACTCAAAATTTCTATTCCCTAATCGGGCCATTATTGATTTTCATCTCTAGCCTAGAAAGATGCACAAGCTGATGGCCACCTCTCTCCTCTTTATGTCAGGATCTGCTCTATAGTCAGCCTCTCTCCAGTTTGTCTTCCCAGGATATTTGTTCTCACATTCAGCACTCTGTACACAATGTGTGGCTGGTTTGCAAGCTTATTTTATTACTTGCTAGGATTATGTGTGTGATGTGCCTTAGTAAGGGGACTTTTCTTTTCCTTGTGTGTGAATTTTTGTTTTCCTGTTCTTTGTCATCTCTGAAGCACTCTCCTTCCAAATGGACCACAGGAGGAAAAGAGCCACAAATGCACCCCTGAGGCAGCCCTCAGCAGCCCTCAGCTGGGGGTCACTCGGCAGCACTGTCCCAAGCTGACGCAGTATAGAGCCACAGGCGTCGTAGTCAGGTGAGCCTGATGTCTGCACTCTGGCAGTCACTTTGGCCTTTTTCCCACGTGAAACTTCTGAGGTTGCCCAAAAGGAAGGCTAAATCGTAGGGGGTGGCTTTGGTTGGGAACTGGAACTAGGATTCTACCTGAGCCCTTTTAGAAATAGCTTAGTTTTTGCTTTGCTTTGTTTTGTTTTGTTTTTTTCCTTTTTAAGCCTGGGCCTGATGGCTGGATTGCTGGGGAAAATCCTTCTCATCTTCTTGGAAAATATAAAGCCTTTGGATGATATATTCAGGCAGTATCCAAGCATTCTAAGTTTAAATCAGGCTCTTACTTCTGTGACAAAACCTAGATCACTAGCTTGCCTCAACACTCCTAGATGATGGTCACTCTAAAAGCATTCTGCGTGTTACTAAGGAAAGACATTTTTATTAACCAGGACGTTCTCAGGGAGCGGTGGATTGTTTCCTGAGTGAACAGCCTACTCGGCACGTATGGACCAGTAATTCCAGCAAGACCATAATTAGAAATTTATCAGATTTTCTGTGAAAGTCAAATTTGAACACCTGGGGGTCATCATGAACTTTTCTAGCTCTAGTCCCATTCCTCCTAACATTAGTAACTGTACTACTTTATTCTTTTTAATATTTTTTGAAGATTGTTAGACTATGATTACTAGCTATTCCATTACTAAGTTTCATTTAGATTTTGCTTTCCCCTGGGTTTTCAGTGATTTTGAACTACTGCAGTTGAACCCTTGACCAGAGTGGGCATTGCGGTGCCAGCGCTGTGTGAGGTTGAGAATCCCTCTGTGCCTTCTCGTTGGCTCTTTGTACATGTGGTGCCTACACCACATATCCGTGGTTCTGTATCCATGGATGCAGCCAACCGTGGATTGTGTAGTACTGTAGTATTTACTGTTGAAAAAAATTCACATATTGGTGGGCCCACGTGGTGGTGTTCAAGGGTCAGCTGTACTTCCAGTTCAAGAAATGTGTATTGACTGGTAGAGAGCATTTTTGAAGGAAAAAAAATTAGAGGAAATCATTGGTTATCAGAGGTTAAAACATGGTAGAAATCGTCACCCTCTGGTCATGTTATATAACTGTTATTGCTAGAAACTTTACAAAGTGTCTCTAGGGTTTGCTGTTGGTGCTTGAAAATATAACCGTAAGCAGATAAGTAAGAAAAGGTCCTTCATATTCCACTTGTAAGCTAGTCTTTATAGTGAATAATTTATACTGAAAAGTAAATATTATAAGACTTAGCTCTTCTAGTGGTTATGTGTAAAAACATTAGTGTATAGTACAAATAAGGTGACTAAATGTTTGCTGATTAATGCTTCTGAAATTAATTTCTAATAAAATTAATCTAAAAGAAAATTCTTGATACAATTGTAAGGATTTACGAGTAATTACAGAAATCAAAGATATAATAGGTGTCTGTTTGAGTTACTTTTGTGCCTAGGTTTTAACTATTTTAGTAAAGAAATGAGCACCTTTCAGATATAAAATTTTGCAGTTGACCTTCTAAATAGAAGGTCATTGAATAGAGAAATAAGTTCCAAGAAGGGCTGAGTTCTTCTCCCTTCAAGAATTCGTTCAAGAGTTCTTTCACTGAAGGCAGTTGCAGCGTAGGGCATACTGCTGTATGCTCTTACTAATTGGATTTGAAACATTAGATTTCTAGAATGGCCCACCTTGGTACTTCTTCTGCCTTCGTCTTGCCCCCCTTTCCGGATTTTAGGATTGTATGTAAAGATGATGTAGTCCACCCCAATCCGACGTTTAGAACTTGTTTTATTAAAGATAAGACAAAATGACCACCTTCAGAGTATTGGCTGTAAACTTGTGTTCAGAATAGTATTCTTGACTATTTTATCTTTCAAGACTTGAGCTTTCTTCTCCTTTTTTTTTAGGTGCTTAGTTTCTCATTACTTTAGTGTGTTGATTTATATCTGAAATAGGAACAATGTATATTTCTAAAACTTTTTGATAGGATCTAAGATTTCTGATAGATCAAAACCATAGGAAGTTCATAAATTTATCTTCTAGTGCATGTTAATCTTTATCAAATTGACATGTACTTTTATTTATTTTTAAAAATTTATTTATTTTAATTAATTTGTTTGTGGCTGCATTGTGTCTTCGTTGCTCCGCGCGGACTTTCTCTAATTGTGGCGAGTGGGGGCTACTCTTGGTTGCCACGCGTGGGCTTCTCATTGCGGTGTCTTCTCTTGTTGCAGAGCACAGGCTTTAGGCACGCAGGCTTCAGTAGTTGTGGTGCGTGGGCTCAGTAGCTGTGGCTCGCAGCCTCTAGAGCACAGGCTCAGTACTTGTGGTGCACGGGCTTAGTTGCTCCATGGCATGTGGGATCTTCCCAGACCTGGGATCGAAGTCAGTCATGTTCCCTGCATTGGCCGGCGGATTCCTAACCACTGTACCACCAGGGAAGTCCTGACACATACTTTTATAACAACGGATTTTCTATAAAGAAAATAGAGTTGCTTATTGCCCTAGTTGGTCGAGTTATTATTATTTCTTAAGTCCAGAGATTTTTGTAGCCTTTCCATGCATGAGCTCCTATTAGTCTCCTGCAGCAACTCTGAGAAGTACTGGGTGGGAGAATCTGGGTCAGAAGAGAAGGCCTAATAGGAAATTCCTAAAGAAAACCATACTTTTAAGCTGTGAATAGCATTTCTTAATTTTTTGATGACTTGTCTTAACTTTGATACAAGCCTAATTTTGACAACTTAAGCAATTCCTGCCAGCATTCCCGCCGCATTTTCCCTCACCCCCAGAAGAGAGAACTAGTGTTCATGATGAGGGGGAAAGTGAGTTAAGGGCATACATAGGCTGTATGTTAAAATTAGGGCACCTAATTTCTGCAGTGACCTAAGTGACCATATCATGTTCATGTTTGGCTGAAGTGCAGGGAAGGTAACTTTACCTATTTGCCTGTTTTTGTTATCTAGTATATTTTTATGTTTTATAAATTTGGAGACTTAAACATCACCCCAAGGTAGTTCTAGGGAGATCTTTTTGGTAATGGAATAGTTCTTTATCTTGATTGTGGTGGTGGTTACACAAATCTACACACGATAAAATCACATGGAACTATACACACACATTAAGCCAATGTCAGGTTTTTGTTTTGATAGTTACTATAGGAAGGATATAACCTTGTGGGGAAACTGAGGGAAGAGTATGTGGGACATCTCTGTACTATCTTTGCAACTTCCTTTACCTATAATTATTCCAAAATTAAAAGTTAAAAAGGAAAATCAACCTAAGATTATTTAATTGTTTTTAAGTAGGAATATGCCATTCCTGAGCAGGTTCCTGAGACACAGGGCTTTCAGTGGAAAAACTGAGAAAGCCTCAGACAAACTGGGATTAAGTTGGTTACCCTATTTATGGAAGACATTAACTGGAGAGAGGCAGCCTATGGGCTGTTACTGATAAAGAGGCGGCTTAAATGTTTGTGGTTCCATATGGCTCCCTCTAAGACTTGACTTAAATCTATGTCTACTAATGCTATAGGAATATCTCTTGAAACTTGTGTCTGCCTTTTTACACATAAATGTTTCTCACCCTTAAAAAAAGGTCCTGTAATCTCTTAGATGTTTTCATCTCATTATGTGTGCCATGATTTGGGGCACTGCCATTTTTCCTCAGTCAGTTGTATTGAATTTTAAGATATTATAGTGCTAGATATAACTTGATTTATATTAGCCGTGAACAACTATGTAATTCCTTGATTTAAAAAAGTTTATGTTATTATTTGTCTTATTAATGGGAGGAATGCAACTTTCAAATATAACATTAAAGCATGATTCTTGAACTAGGAAATATAAACTAATTTAAAGTGTTCATTTTTTTTCTTCCCCATTTCTTTCCTTCACAATGTATACTTTTATTCTTTTTATCTTAGTATTCTTCCCTTAAAGTCTCAGGTACTTGCTGTAATTCTGTGTACAGTGTATTTCTAATTACGCAGATAACTAAAATTATCAAATGATATGGACAATTACTAATGTGTTCTCTGCACAGTGAGTTACTAGGCCTCCAGGACAGAGGGGAGATGAAGTAGTGGCAGAGTTTGATGTGTGTTTGTGTAAAAAAAATGAATCATTCATTTTCCTATGTATGTTTTTGACGAAGCTAAAATAGGGGAAAAGAAAGAAGATGGAGGTAGAGATGCATGTGGGGAAGAAAATAGAAGTATAAATTGTTTTGTCAGAGGATTAGTTGTCTTTTTTCCGTGTAGGGGATTAGTTCTTAACCCTTTTCGGGCCACGGACCCTTTGAGAGTTGGATGAAAGCCTCAAGCTCTCTCCTTAGGAAAATGTTATTATGTTTGTTTATACGTAGACTCCAGATTAAGAACTTTTGCTCAAATGGAATGTAAGTAGATAAATGGGAGTTTAATGAGTGAGAGAAAACCATAATGTTCTGCGTTTGTAAAGCAGTTTACTGTTCAGAATGAATTTTAAAATAATTATTTGATCCCTTAGCAACCTTATGAAATTAGCTGTATATATTGATATTTCTTTATTCCTAACTTAGGCTAAATAATTGAGGCTCTAGGAAATTAACAAGTCACACAAATGATAAGCAGCTTCTCTCCTGAGTTGGCAAATATTGTGCTTATTGAGTGTCTGCTGTGCTAGGCCCTGTGCCCAGGTAGTGGGGATGGATATGATAGGCTTGTCCCTGGAGAGCTCTTGGTTGAGTAGAACCGTCTAATTTGTAGACATTCAGTGTGAACCCATATATATTTAGTCTCCGTTCAGCTCTGTTTAACTCTGCGTTGCTGATTTTGGGGGGAATACTGAGGAGAAGTATTTCATTAAAACGAAAATATCAGTATGTTGTAATTTCCAGGTTTAAAAAATAACCTGATCATCTGACGTTAGTTCCCTGACCAGGGTTGAATTCGGGCCTGGCAGTGAAAGCTCTGAGTTCTAACCACTGGACCAACAGGGAATTCCCTTCATCTGACTTATTTCATAGAAATTGAGTAGCATAATAAAACATGATGTATAGGGAATGGGCATGGATCGTAGGAAGAGAAACTTAAGTTTAATGCAAAGAACACCTTGAGGTCCTTCATATGTTAAACACTGGAGAGGGCAACTAAGTGAAATTGTGGCTGCTTACATTATCTTTTGGGCTTTTTATGACTTTCTTTTCAAAAGTAGACATTATTGACATAAACGTAAGGGATAATTTTGTGGTTTTGTTTTTAAGCATTTTTTTGAGATAACCGACGATCAATTTGACTTCCATACTTATTGCATGAGAAAGATGACCCTTCGTGCCTACGTTGACCTTTTGAGATTAGAAGATATACTCAGGAGACATGCCTTCTATTTCAAGGCTGCTAGATCAGCTATTGAAATATATTTGAAATTGTATGATAATCCCTTGACCAATGAAAGCAAACAACAAGAAATAAATTCAGGTAACTGAAAAGGGACTTGCTTAAAGAGATTTGAAAAGAACACAAAATTTCAGAACATCATTAACATAATGATGAAAAAGTATATTATCAGATGGATGTGAAGACAACATTAGATAACTGATATACCAAAAAAAGTAGGGGGAAGACTTAGAAAAAGTTGACAGGATGATGTCCTGTAGCTGATGCTTCTAAATTACCCTAATGGAATGACCTGCAGTCATTCTAATTTTTATCGTTGGTAGGGCCCATTCAGGAAAAATAGAAATGTTTATGGGCTGGGTTTTTTTTTTTTTTTTTTCTTAAATAGGAATTGAGGATAGTTTTGAGCTTTTTAGGGGAAAAAATATATATTTGTACAACTTTGAATACCTACTTGATTGAAAATAATAATGCCAATGAGAATATCTGTATAGAGCCTTTTATTCACTAAAATGTCAATATCTAAGAATATTTGAGAAATAGCATGGAGGCAAATTTCTGATCAGATCACGGGTGTTTATGTGCATTGCACTTATCCTTGATATATTCATATTCCAAGAGGATAGTCATCAGCTCCACTTTATACAGCTTGGGACTTGAGACTGAGAGAAGATGATTTGCCTCAACCCATGTATTGTGTAGGAAGCAGAACCAGGCTAGAATTGGTTAATTTTAGTTGAGGCAGCATTTGCTATTGCATTTTGTGTGCCAGGTTTGAGCTAGTCATTAGGAGCACACTTTCTAAAAACCTCTATATAGTTGCCCCCCAGAAAACTATACTAATAGTATGTATTGAATAAGAATATGAGGAAATTGGAAACATTGACTCAGAATTTCCATTCATTTGGATATTTATAGAAAACCTGTCAGCCAAAGAATTGAAGAAAGTGCTTAGCAAGCAGAGAAGAGCTCAAAAAAAGGCAAAATTAGAAGAAGAGAAAAAGCATGTGGAAAGGGAACGTCAACAAAAAAATCAGAAGAAGAAACGGGATGAAGAAGAAGAAGAAACCGGTGGTCTCAAAGAAGAACTTATACCCGAAAAATTGGAAAGGGTGAGATGGACTTACTGCCTTTACTTGGTAAAATTTATGTTATTTCGTTCTGTTCTGACCGTAAACATGATTTATTTAAATCTGTAAATCAGAAGCTATTTGTAGTATTCGCCAAGATCATTATGATAGTCGTCAGTTGTTTTTGAGTGATAATATGCAGATTTTGGCTAATGCAGATTATAGATAGAATTGTAGTTGTGGTAGGCAGAATAATGGCCCTCCAAAGGTGTCTGTGTTCTAATCCCTGGCAACGGTGAACGTGTTATATTTCATGGCAAAGGGAATTGAGGTGGCAGATGGAATTTAAGGTTGTACTTAGCTGGCCTTGAAATAGGGAGAGTAGCCTGGATTACCCAGGTAAGCCCAATGTAATTAATCACCAGGGGCCTTAAAAGTGGGGGAGGGAAGCAGGAGAGGAGGGCTGAGTGCTGGGAAAAGGACTCAATCCCCTGTTGCTGCTTTGAAGGGGGTGGGGTGGGAGCCACAAGCCAGAGGGTGTGGGCATCCTTGAGAAACTGGAAAAAGGCATTGAAACATATTCTCCCTTAAAGCCTCCAAAAGGAAATGCAGTCCTGTTGACACTTTGATTTTAAGCCCAGTGAGACCCATGTTGGACTTTTAACCTACAGAACTACAGGATAATAAATTTGTGTTAATACAGTAAATTTTTGGTAATTTGTTAGAGCAGCAATACAATTAAATATGGAAGCATTTCATATACCTTGCTAGATAATGTTTTAGCTACAAAGAGAATAGCATCTTATGTCCGGGATTTTCTCAAAGTGTTAATAGTTACTTAGGAACCGGATTTAGGGAAATATTTCCTATTTAGGGGAATAGCTAAATATTTAGGGAAATAGCTTTCTGGTTTATTCACTATGAATCTAGTGTAAGTATTTTAAACTTGTCCTTTTTTTCAACTATGTAGTGCAATTATATTTGCCTCCTTTAGATGTTTGTAGTTTAAGGGGCTTGGTAGCATATGGTACTTGTAGTATAATGGTACTTGTAGTACCATTTCATCAAGTCTGTGGAATAATTTCCTGTATTTTTTTTATTTTTATAAAATTATCTTGATTTTATAATCAGAAAAGCAATAGAACTATTTCCGGTTTTGAAAAGTATTGACTATTTGTTTATAGTTGATAGTTTTAAAATATTTTCTTGCTTACTTGGTTATATGAAGAGAACTGTCTAAATTACTTCAGCTATGTATTAATATAAAATTTGGGGGGAGATTTGACTTGTGTAACTGCTTTTTAAATACAATAATTTTTCTTTCTGTTTCAAAATAGATAGAAAATCCATTAGAAGAAGCTATCAAGTTTCTTATACCTCTTAAGAACCTTGTCGCTGATAACATTGACACTCATCTATTAGCATTTGAAATATATTTTAGAAAAGGTAATAAAGTTTGAATTCAGATTTTAATCCTTGATTTTATTGGTGGCCATATTCAATAGAATCTTTTTTTTTTTTCATTTTAACATCTTTATTGGAGTATAATTGCTTTACAATGGTATGTTTCAGCTTCCCAACAAAATGAATCAGTTGTATATATACATATGTTCCCATATCTCTTCCCTCTTGCGTCTCCCTCCCTCCCACCCCTCCAGGCGGTCACAAAGCCCCGAGCTGATCTCCCTGTGCTATGTGGCTGCTTCCCACTAGCTATCTACCTTACGTTTGGTAGTGTATATATGTCCATGCCTCTCTCTCGCTTTGTCACAGCTTACCCTTCCCCCTCCCCATATCCTCAAGTCCGTTCTCTAGTAAGTCTGTGTCTTTATTCCTGTTTCACCCCTAGGTTCTTCATGACATTTTTTTTCTTAAATTCCATATATATGTGTTAGCATACGGTATTTGTCTCTCTCTTTCTGACTTACTTCACTCTGTATGACAGACTCTAGGTCTATCCACCTCATTACAAATAGCTCAATTTCGTTTCCTTTTATGGCTGAGTAATATTCCATTGTATATATGTGCCACATCTTCTTTATCCATTCATCCGACGATGGGCACTTAGGTTGTTTCCATCTCCGGGCTATTGTAAATAGAGCTGCAATGAACATTTTGGTACATGATTCTTTTTGAATTATGGTTTTCTCAGGGTATATGCCTAGTAGTGGGATTGCTGGGTCATATGGTAGTTCTATTTGTAGTTTTTTAAGGAACCTCCATACTGTTCTCCATAGTGGCTGAACCAATTCACATTCCCACCAGCAGTGCAAGAGTGTTCCCTTTTCTCCACACCCTCTCCAGCATTTATTGTTTCTAGATTTTTTGATGATGGCCATTCTGACTGGTGTGAGATGATATCTCATTGTAGTTTTGATTTGCATTTCTCTAATGATTAATGATGTTGAGCATTCTTTCATGTGTTTGTTGGCAGTCTGTATATCTTCTTTGGAGAAATGTCTATTTAGGTCTTCTGCCCATTTTTGGATTGGGTTGTTTATTTTTTTGTTATTGAGCTGCATGAGCTGCCTGTAAATTTTAGAGATTAATCCTTTGTCAGTTGATTCATTTGCAAATATTTTCTCCCATTCTGAGGGCTGTCTTTTGGTCTTGTTTATGGTTTCCTTTGCTGTGCAAAAGCTTTGAAGTTTCATTAGGTCCCATTTGTTTATTTTTGTTTTTATCTCCATTACTCTAGGAGATGGGTCAAGAAGGATCTTGCTGTGATTTATGTCATAGAGTGTTCTGCCTATGTTTTCCTCTAAGAGTTTGATAGTTTCTGGCCTTACATTTAGGTCTTTAATCCATTTTGAGCTTATTTTTGTGTATGGTGTTAGGGAGTGATCTAATCTCATACTTTTACATGTACCTGTCCAGTTTTCCCAGCACCACTTATTGAAGAGGCTGTCCTTTCTCCACTGTACATTCCTGCCACCTTTATCAAAGATAAGGTGACCATATGTGCATGGGTTTATCTCTGGGCTTTCTATCCTGTTCCATTGATCTTCAATAGAATCTTTGTGAATTAGATCTATTTTTGTTTCTTAGAGTTTCATTTCAACCTTCCACAAAGGCTCTTAATTCCTTTTTCCTTTGCTACTCAAAACTTTACTGAGTAATAAATTAGAATATTATGATCAAATGAATAATTTGAATAGTCATACAAGTTGTTTACCTGAATCAATTCTTCATGATTTTTCAAGCATTTCTTTAGAAAATAATATTATCTTTGGTAACCAAAGGCAGCTTTGAATTTTGCTTTTGAATGTTATAGGAAAGGTAACACTTTGTTACTGGATTTTAAGTGAAGAAAAAACATACATAAATATTGATGCTGTTACTTTTATAATTTTTTCTGACATAGGAAAGTTTCTGTTAATGCTGCAGTCTGTCAAACGAGCTTTTGCCATCAACAGGAATAACCCATGGTTACATGAATGTTTAATTAAATTTTCTAAATCTGGTAAGTATAAAAAATGTAATATTTATGTAAAAGTAAATATAACAGTTCAGCTGTCTTCCATTAAGCTGGACATTAAAGAGCTTTGTAACAATGTAAAGCAAAAAAAGTATAATGTTTATAGTATTTAAATGGAGATTTATCTATAAAATGAACATGCTAGCAAAGTTATGTTAGAAATTAGTGCATTTTAAGCTAGAATGTATTTATATTCCAAAGGAGTAATACTATTTTTATTATGTAAAATATATCAGGTTTAATAATAAATATAAATGTATTTCAATTGATTTTGTTTCAAAGTACAGACCAAAAATTTTATAAACTTCACATGTTCTCTTTTTACAGTGTCTAATCATAGTAATCTTCCAGACGTTGTGAGCAAAGTTCTGTCTCAAGAAATGCAGAAAATATTTGTTAACAAGGATTTGGAAAGTTTTAATGAGGATTTTCTTAAACATAATGCTATCTCTCTTCAGCATCTACTTTCAGGTTGGTATTTAGTCCCCAGGGTTAAAATGTTTATGGAAAAAAGTTAGAATGTGACGAAAAAAGAAAAGTTTGGAAAGATTATCAACCTCACTAACTATCAGAGAAAAAGAAATGAACACAATACCATTCTGATCTTTCAAATTAGGAAAGATTATTTTTAAACACAACCATACAAAATCTGTGGGATGCAGCAAAAGCTTAGTTCTTAGAGGGAAGTTCATAGTGACACAGGCCTTCCTCAAAAGAAACAAGAAAAATCTCAAATAAATAACCTAACCTACCACCTAAAAGGAAAGATTATTTTTGTATGGAAAAAGGAGACTAAAGTATGGGAAAGATGTGGTATATAAGCACTCCTGTATTTTACTGCTGCAGCTATGAATTGCCCTGGCCATGTAGGAAAACAATTTGTCATTCTTACCAAGAGCTTCATTACAGCTGTGTCTTTTGCTGTAGTCACACATATTTGTGTAAATAATTTTAAAGAATTAATCCAAAGCGAAGAAAGAGCTTTAAGGGCAAAGATATTAACTGGAATGCTGTGTGTAAGGATGGGGAAAAGAATGGACACAAATTTAATGATGTCCAGTAACAGGGAAAACAGTAGTAGGTTCATATAAAATGACAGGAAGTCATATAAAGTAATATTTATTCAAAAGATTTGTAATAACAGGGGTACTTTTCTGATATATATGCAGAATTAACATGTAATCTCAGCTATGTAAAAATACACATGGCATAAAAGCTGAAAAGAAGCATCAAAGCTTTAATGGTTGACTTTGGATGTTGAGGTTATGCGACACTTATTTTTTCTTGTATTTTTTATTCCTGTGTGTATTTTGTGTTTGTGGGTTTGTTTGTTTTCTTGTTCACTTTTTGGCCACACCTTATGGCATGCATGTGGGATCTTAGTTCCCCACGCCCCCTGCAGTGGAAGCATGGAGTCTTAACCACTGGACCGCCAGGGAAGTCCCCGTATTTTGTGTTTTGAGGATTTACTGTATCCTGTCCTGTTACAGGAAGGATTTTAGGCAGCATATGCAAATTCATAAAATGACAAGATGGCAAAATGGAAACTGGAAAAAGATTGTGGAAAAGCAGTTGGGGACAAAATGAATGGAGTACATAATATAATTAACTATGCTCCTACTTTAAATATTTTAACCTGAGCTTTCTTGTAAAGGGATATTGCTTGGTTGTGATATCTATGGGAAAAAAGTTAATTCCTGTGAAAAATTACAGCACTTCTTGGTAGTAAGGGCAAATAAGAATTTCTCTTCAAGAACACAGAATAATGGAGGGAGACATTTCTTTATTATAATAATGGGAAATGCCTTTCTAAACATCATATGAAATTCTAAGGAAAAGATAATTTTTGCCACATTAAAAAAAAAAAGCCATCAAGTCAGAAGGCCAAGTGGGAAAAATACATTAGATATGTAACTAATTAAAAGTGAATAATATACATACTACTCTTATAAATTAACAATAGAAATATAAATTAATAAAAGCCCAATAGAAAAATGAGCATAGAACATGGACCATGTAATTTATAGGGGGAATATAAACTGGATTTTACTTTAAAACAGCTTGAAAAATTATTTTCTTTGTGAATATGCAAACATTTTCCTGTTGTCCGTCTGTCACACTGCTCTCTCTCTTTTTTAAAATAAATTGATTTATTTATTTCTGCTGTGTTGGGTCTTCGCTGCTGCGCGTGGGCTTTCTCCAGTTGCGGCGAGCGGGGGCTACTCTTCGTTGCAGTGCACGGGCTTCTCATTGCGGTGGCTTCTCTTGTTGTGGAGCACAGGCTCTAGGTGTGCGGGCTTCAGTAGTTGTGGCACGTGGGCTCAGTAGTTGTGGCTCGTGGGCTCTAGAGCGCAGGCTCGGTAGTTGTGACGCACGGGCTTAGTTGCTCCACGGCATGTAGGATCTTCCCGGACCAGAGATTGAACCCGTCTCCCCTGCATTGGCAGGTGGATTCTTAACCACTGTGCCACCAGGGAAGTCTCTGGAACCATGTTTTAAGTCACTGATAAGTATAAATCAACTCAAATGTAAGACATAGGAATGCACTCATTTTGTAATGTCTTGGTATTTCAGGTGCTAAAATGATGTATTTTCTGGACAAGTCAAGGCAAGAGAAAGCAATTGCTATTGCCACTAGACTGGATGAAACCATAAAAGATAAAAGTGTAAAGGTAAGAGTTTTCACACACTGATTCCCAGAGACTGTGGATACTGAGTGATCTAACAAAACATATCTTTACAACATAATTCTTGAGTGGCCCTTCGGAGTTATGTGTAGATTTGGATCTCAGATCTTCTACCAGTTATGAGCTGTGTCATGTTAGGCAAGTTACCTTTCTTAGCTTCCTTTTCCTCATTTATAAAGTGAGGATGAAAATACTGTCTATCTCAGAGTTGGTGTTAACTGAAATAGTAAACTGTGAAGTGCTTGGCATATAGTAAGCACTCAGTAAATGGGAACTGTTGTTATTAATAAAGGACACTTTCAGTGGTCACAGTTTCAGAGACTCACTTTTTTTAAGTATTAGAATTCTATCGCCTTTTTTTTTTTTTTGACTGTTGGGTCTTCCTTGCTGGGCGCGGGCTGCTCGTCATTGTGGTGTGCAGGCTTCTCATTGCAGTGGCTTCTCTTGTTGCGGAGCACGGGCCCTAGAGCACGCAGGCTTCAGTAGTTGTGGTGCGTGGGCTCAGTAGTTGTGGCGCATGGGCTTAGTTGCTCTGCAGCATGTGGGATCTTCCCGGACCAGGGATCAAACCTGTGTCCCCTGCATTGGCAGGTGGAATCTTAACCACTGCACCAGCAGGCAAGTTCCCTATTGCTTTTTTAAGGTTTTGTAGAATTGATTTTTTAAATGTTCTTTTTTTTGTGGTGATTACTTATTATAGATAGCAAGAAGTTATTTTAGAGTGTGGCATTGTTGGTTTTCTCTTGCTTAATTAACAGATTGCATCTTTTGATTAAAATAGTTATTAACCAGAGTTTTTTTAAAAAATAATTTTTATTTTTCCCTTGTTTAAATAGACTTTAATAAAGGTTTCTGAGGCACTGCTTGATGGCAGCTTTGGGAACTGTAATTCTCAGTATGAAGAATACAGGATGGCCTGTCATAACCTGCTGCCTTTTACTTCTGCTTTCCTGCCTGCTGGGAGCGAAGTCGGCGGTCATAGCGCAGCTCTAAACCACTCAGCTAACTGTGATGTCTTGGCAAGTGAAATTTGAAATCCCATAGAAAGTTGACTTCTGTAAGACTCAAAGTTGAATTCAGATCAGGGTTTCTTTTCCAGCTTGTATGTTAACATAGATATGAAATGAAGTACAGTTGACCCTTGAACAGCATGGGTTTGAATTTCAAGGGTCCACTCATATGTGGATTTTTTCAATAGGAGATACTACAGTACTATGCGATCTTCATTTGGTTGAATCCAGGGATGCAGAACCTCAGATAGGGAAGGACTGCTTATACAGAGGGCCACCTGTATGTTAAATGTGGATTTTTGACTGCTTGGAGGGAGGGTCAGTGCACCTAACTCTTGGTTTTGTTCAAAGATCAACTGTATTGGATAGAATTTTTAAATGGAGTATGCTGTAAGCTTATTTTATTCTTTATCCGACTATGCCAATTTACATAAAAGGCTCTTAAAATTACCTGTTATATATACTTGTACAGCTTTCTTAAACTTTTGAATTTTCAGCATTGTGATTGGTGCTGTCACTTCGTATCATAACTAGAATTTCTTAATTAACCTAAGTTGCATACAGCTCTGCTGTATTATTTTTTTTAGATCTGGCTTTCGTTTCAGAATCTTATGTTTTGATCCCTTATTGGTTTGTTTTGTTATTTGTTTGCTTTTTATTAAAGCACATCAATATTAAAGTGTTAACTATATGTCAGAAGTGATATGGAACTCCTTTTGACAGATATTTATTTAAAATTTACTTCAGTTTGACCTTTTGTCCACCTTACTATTTTTGTGATTTACCGTTTTCCTTTTTAACAGCCGTGAAAATGCTATTTTCTGTTGAACAGGGGTACTCCAGTTTTATATTGATGATTCAGAATATGGGGATCTGTTTGCCTCTTAATCATGGAAGTTCACTGGTAAATTTGTTGCGTATCTAGATCAGTCTTAAAGACCCCCAGGCAAGAGTTATGCTTTCTTGGCTAAATTGCTTTGCGTTACCAAGTAGTTTGTATATGAGTGCTTCAAGGGAGCATAATAGGGTAAAATACAAATTACAATGAGATGTTCTTACTCTTATAGCCATGCATTGACTATTAAATACATTTTTATATCAGCAAAATGAGAATTTAAACTATCAGCTAGTTTAACTATTAAAATATAGTATTGTTGAGCAATATTTTGGGGGGAGTAGTAGCTTTTGTTCTATCTTGTACAGAAAACAGTAATAGAATCATTGAATATGTTTCTTTCAGAACTGTATAAATGTCTGTAACATTAATACTTCCTTTTAAAGGCAAATATAAATTCAAAAGGGGAGATTTTATTTAGAGAAACAATTCTAATTAAAATGGTTTTCCTTCACTCTAAGCTAATATTTAGATTCATAATTGTTGAGAGAAAAAACCTTACTGTAAAATAATGCCAACCTATGTAATGCTATAATAAATTATTTTGTACACAGTTGCTTATTTGTGTTTGTGTTATTGTTTCACACTATCAAAATATTTTTTTTAAGGAATTCCTTTATTTTCTTTATTATTATTTCTTTATTTATTTTTGGTTGTGTTGGGTCTTCGTTTCTGTGCGAGGGCTTTCTCTAGTTGCGGCAAGCGAGGGCCACTCTTCATCATGGTGCGCGGGTCTCTCACTATCGCGGCCTCTCTTGTTGCGGGGCACAAGTTCCAGATGCGCAGGCTCAGTAGTTGTGGCTCACGGGCCTAGTTGCTCCGCGGCATGTGGGATCTTCCCAGACCAGGGCTCGAACCCGTGTCCCCTGCATTGGCAGGCAGATTCTCAACCACTGCGCCACCAGGGAAGCCCTGTCACAGTATTTTTGCAAGATGTTTTTTCTTTGAGGGAGTAAAAAGTTAATTATCTTAGTTTTTACAAGTTTATTTTAAAACATAACCAACTACCAATATATTCTAGTGCCACAGCAGCTTGGCTTCTTTTCAGAGTAGAACTAGGCTATCTTGTTACTGAATATCCTGGGAAACATGTAATTTGTCATGTTACTTTCAGCAAGATGCCATTTCTATAAAAGATGCCAGTTAATCATAATTAATGTGGAAATTGTGCTTTCAACAGCAGTCTTTAAAAAGTATTTCATTCGGATCATTTGGAGCTTCTAATATATATAGAAAATATATAGGGTGGATACAGTGGAGGTGTGAGAAGTTAGGTTTAAGGTATGGAAGGCAGGATAAAGAGTGACACTGGGATTAGTGAGATCCAGTAGTATATTCCTCTGCGTATAGAGGTTGTATCTATTCTCCTACCTACTCCCATGCCACTTTGAGTATAAACACTGTAAACCTGGGATGTGCTAGGGATCTTTTTTAGATAAGAGAGGCAGAATTTTTTTTTTGTGTGTGTGTGTTTATTTTTACTTGTTGACAGTTTGCTTTATTTATTTATTTATGGCTGTGTTGGGTCTTCGTTTCTGTGCGAGGGCTTTCTCTAGTTGTGGCAAGCGGGGGCCACTCTTCATCGCGGTGCGCGGGCCTCTCACTCTCGCGGCCTCTCTTGTTGCGGAGCACAGGCTCCAGACGCGCAGGCTCAGTAGTTGTGGCTCACGGGCCCAGTTGCTCCGTGGCATGTGGGATCTTCCCAGACCAGGGCTCGAACCCGTGTTCCCTGCATTAGCAGGCAGATTCTCAACCACTGCGCCACCAGGGAAGCCCAGAGAGGCAGAATTTTGTATCATGTCCCTCCGTCCCCCTACCTCCAGCCTACCTCCAACTTTTAGTTTTGGAAAGCTAAAAGAGAATAATGATAAAAAAGGAGAGGCATCTGAGAACCAAGTACTAAGTAAAGCCTCTAGTTTCAACACAAAAAGTCCTTTGTTGATCTTGCGAAGTTTATCAGAACAGATAGGAAAAGACAAAGATTCAAGTGACAGTGTGACAACTTCAGAATTTGGCTTTTTTACTGTGTGTGTGTGTGTGTGTGTGTGTGCGCGCGCGCGGTACACGGACGGGCCCCTCACTGTTGTGGCCTCTCCCATTGCGGAGCACAGGCTCCGGGCGCGCAGGCTCAGCGGCCATGGCTCACGGGCCTAACCGCTCCGCGGCATGTGGGATCTTCCCAAGACCAGGGTACAAACCCTGGTCGCCTGCATCGGCAGGCGGACTCTCAACCACTTGTGCCACCAGGGAAGCCCGTCCTTAGACATTTTTTTAAACTCCCTTTAAGGAACTAATTTTGATGTTGAGATGCTCTGTCCTGGGAGCTGATAAGATAGGAGGTGAGGGGTTTGCAGACCGTGGGGTGGCTGTGCTGGAGGGAAGTAGCAGGAGGATCAGGGAGACCATTCATTGCTTTATTTAGGAACATCTTCCTAGTTCTTCACAGATCTCTTCCCAGCGCATGATCTGAGACCAGGGCATTGAGGAGAGAACACAGGTTTTGGAGGAAGATGGGCATTGCCTTTCAAGTTGGTTGGTGATGCGCTTCAAGCTGGATGACTTTGGATAAGTCATTTCCCCACCGTACCTTGTCAGTAATAGCCTGCCTCTGCTGTGCAACAGTCTGTAAATGGGAGCTGTTTGCTTTAGTTTAGTAAATGTTTGAATCTCTTTTTTATTTCTCTGCAAGGTAGTTGGAGCCTTCTGAGCCCAAAGAAGAAATTGCTTCTTCAAAGCTCACCCAACTTGAATCGGAAACTACAGCCAGCTCTTCCAACAGTCCACAAATGCCCTGGATCAGGACTGTCCCCAATACAGTGGCTGTGTTTCCTGACCCAAAGACCCAGGCTAAACGTCATAAATCATATTAAAAATTGTGAATGGTTATAGGAAAAGGATTATGAAAAGATAAATATTCGATGACTTTAGGTAACAAATTTAGGGTTTTGATACAATACGTAATTATTTAAAATTGGAACCAGCCTGGAAAGTTCAACTTGCGGGTTCTAACAGGTCATCTTCATATTTTTCACAGCACCTGGGTACTCAGATAATGAAAAAAGAGAAAGAAACCAAATTCAGAGATATATGGAGAGAGATTAAAAATCCCAAGGCTCTGAGTTTCCGGTCTCCTTTATCTATAGTCTCTATTGTTTGGAATATAAATAATCTATTGCTGATAATTCTTTTTTTCATTTCTAATATCCTACTGGTCTTATTTATTTATTGTTTAAATTTTTTTGGCTGCGTTGGGTCTTCATTGCTGTGCGCAGGCTTTCTCTAGTTGCGGTGAGCAGGGCTACTCTGTTGTGGTGCATGGGCTTCTCATTGCTATGGCTTCTCTCGTTGCGCAGCACAGGCTCTAGGCGCGTGGGCTTCAGTAGTTGTGGCATGCAGGCTCAGTAGTTGTGGTGCACGGGCTCAGTAGTTGTGGCTCGTGGGCTCTAGAGCACAGGCTCAAAAGTTGTGGCACATGGGCTTAGTTGCTCCGTGGGATGTAGGATCTTCCCGGACCAGGGCTGGAACCCGTATCCCCTGCATTGGCAGGCGGATTCTTAACCACTGTGCCACCACAGAAGACCCCTACTGGTCTTTCGAGTAACTATTATCACTGCCCATATCCACCCTTTTCAATACATATATGAAATCCCCCAGGCTAGCCTGTGAGGGTCCTTATGAATAATGGAGCCTATAACAAGTTCTATTCTCTGGGTTATATGCTACTTTTGTTATTTCCTTTAAAAATATATATATATTTAAAAAGCCATAGCCTGCCTTGTTTCCACTTCATCTTCTGTTTTGTTATTTCTTGTCTTTAAAATCTGGTTGGCAAAAGTGAAGGGAAAAGACGAGAAGTAGAGAAGGAGAGCCAATTACAGTTGGGAGGGTGGCTGGGGAGGAGGTGGCAGCGGGGAGTGTGAGGTGTCGGGGGAAGAGCCCCTGCTTTGGAGTCATAAGAACTGGGCTGCAGCTTTCACTCAGTCTTGTCCTGCAGTTAGTGGTTTTGTTTGGCCTTTCTCGTGAGTAAATTGTTTACATTAAGGACTAGTGTAGAGAGAAAATGGGGTAATACATGCAAAAAGTCTGTTGTGTCCTGGTAAATGTTTAATAAATAGCTCTGAGGTTGAGGGGGAGAGGGGAGAAAGCCCTGATTTGGAGAATGTGCTGGTGTTGTGGTGCAAATACTCCTCTTAT